TGGGACAGAGATGAGCCAGTCTGTCTTGGAAACCTTATGGGGCAGTTCTACTCTGTCTTATAAGGTAGCCATGAGTCAGAATCAAATCAACAGTAGTGATTTTTTTGGGGGGAGTGGGTGGGATGTTTGGTCCCATTACAATACTGCACTGGTGCTGCAAGTCTCTTCAGTTTTGCTATGTTTGCTGCTCTTTTTCATTTACATCGGTGCAATGCTGATGTGTGGCCTCACCTCCTAGCCCTGACCACTGCAGTGATAATATGATTGTCCCTCTTCTTTGTTCTATTTACGTCTCTTGTTCATTTCTTTCATAGTCCCTGTCCAGTTACATCACAGTGCTGAGAATGTGCAGCTTGTCATCTTTGCCAGTTCTCATCCCTGCCCAATTGCTTAAACAGATGACACGGATCTACTTCTTGGTGTGCCATTTACAAGGCCTTAATAACTACCCAACTGCACTGATGGCCCATGGCTCTATCTCTTTGCTCCATTCACATCTTATACCCTTTTACAGAACTACACTGGTGGTATAGGACACCTTGTCTTTGCCAATAACCTTCAGAGTTAGACCACTGTGTCTGTGACTCAAGGTTATTTCTCTTTGCCATGCTCAAGCCCTTGCATAGTTATTCAACCGCACTGATAGGAAAGGGCTCCTCCTATTTGCCTTGTTTATATATTCTGTCCAGTTACACCTCAGTTCTAATGGAGTGAGCACACTCTTGTTTGTTGTGTTCATACTCCCTGATAGTTATACCACTGCAACGATGGCATGAGTCTATTCCATTTTGCCTTGTACATAATTCCTTTGCCAACTATACCAATGCACCAAGTGTACTGGCTCACCATCTCTACAGTGTTCATATGGCATGCCAAATAATCCTACCCCACTGATGGTTTGGAATGATCCTCTTTGCCCTGATCATATGTTCTGTCCAGTTACAGGATTTCACTGATTTCATGGGGATACTGTTCTCTGCCTGTTCACATCTGCTGTTTAGTTTCACCAGTACACTGCTGGGCCAGAGATTCTGTGAATTGCCGTGTCAGAATCCCTTATTTAGCAATACCACTGCACTGATGGTGCAGGGACATCCCTCTTTGTGCTGTTCATGTCTCCTACTCAATCACTCCAATACACAGAAAGGATGAAGCTCCCTTTTTTGGCCCATTTTTATTACTTGCAGTGATATAATCCTAAATTGGTAGTAGTGAGCTCCTCCTCTTTTATCTTTTCATATCTCCCTCCTAGGTACTTGCCTGCATGGAAGGTGCTGATTGTTTTGTTTTTTCCCCCTTCCTATCCACTGTCAGGATAAGCCATTGCTCTCACTGGGTAGGGATCATTCTTTTTGCCTTGTTGACATACATTGTCAACTCACTCCCACACATTTATGGTGCAGAGTACAATCTATTTTTCCTATTTGTATAGCCTACCCATTTACACCACTACATTGATGGCATGAGTCTGCTTCTCTTTGCCATGTTCACTTGTCCTGTGAAGATTCACCACTGTACTCTGGTTGTTCATGACTCATTCTATTTTTTTCTCATATATGTCCCTTGTGAAATTAGCACCTTTATGGGTGGTTTGAGGTTCTTCTTCTTTGCTTCTTTCATATTCCCTCTGAAGATCCTTCACTGGAAGGATGTCATGATATATACACATCTTTGTCTCGTTCACATTGCTTGCTCAATCAAATGATTACACTGATAGTGCATGACACTTCATTATGCCACATTCTCATACCTGCCCAGTAACTCCACTAAACTGTTAGTGTGGGACTCTTTCTCTGTGTGCTTTTCATAACACCTTCAATTGTACATGACTGCACTGATAACATAGGACTTCTTGTCCCTATTCCCTTTCCATGCTCATTTACATAGCTATACTGATGCTGTGAGCAC